ATAAAGAACTAGCAGTGTCAAACCAAATGATATTGTCCGGAGCCTATAAAAAAAGAAAACTAAATAGCAGGAAAAACCAACTGCTTAACATTGTTGTTCTGACTCTTCAGTTTTCTTGGATTACCCGTGTCCGAAGTATATCCAACATGGATATGCATATATATATATCCATCCAAGAACTTTCCAAACTCATAGAAAAACTTTGAAAAAAATTGAACATGCCAGAGTTTGATACAGTAGTATGAAAAACTCATAACTGAACTGAAGTAAATGCGCTAAGGATATGAGTAACAATAAGGCACGTACCAAAATCAATTGCTCCCACAAGAGCACAAGCCCTGGCAACTTCTTGACAGAGATTGCAATTAAAATTGGAATGAATGTGTAGATTCGATAACCGCTGAAAGTAAAAACCAGAGAATACATCTATAAATGACAAATGCTTCAAGCTAAGGATACAAGATGGTAAAGTTAAGGAACATACAAATCTTCGGAGATTCTGGAGAACATCAAAGAGAAGCTTAATATCTCCATGATTTTTGCAGTTACCAATCATTGACCATAGAGAAGCATTTGGAGGCATCGTTCTTTTAACATTTACGGATTGAAGCATGTTATCGTAGAGTTCTTTAACGGCCTCTGTATTCAACAACACAAACCAAGCATTGAAAATAAAACAAAAAGCTTCGAACCTAATCTCAAACTAAACTAAAGAGAAAATCAAGTACCAGTCGGATTGTTATCTGTGGTTCCAGCTTCTGTGGAAAAACTTGTCCTTGAAATCATCGGATAAACCGAATGCAGTGGCATCAGATAATAACAGCTTCCACACATCCCTGTAAAATTAGCTAAATCAATATACACACAATCGATTTGATTTTCTTATTTCTATGAAAAGAACTAGAGCTTTTTTCTTTCTACTTCTTAGCTAATAATCTAAACAATTAGTATTGAATTAAACAGAGAAGTACGGTACACTAAATCCTTTCCTAATTTCTTTTAGTAACAGAACAAAGTAACTAAAAAAAGAAAAATTTACGGTACCTGAGGAAGCCTCACCGTAAAGTTGGCATTGAAGAAAAGATCTATGAGATTGAATCAAAGACGAGGAGAAACGTTGATTTGAAATGAAAAGAACTGTCCGAGCTCCTAAAACCCTAGCGAGATTGCGAGCGTTCGAAATCACTTGCATCTTCTTCTTTTCTTCGAGTTAGGGATTGAGTGGTAGATGAGTCAGGGGACCAAACGGGTTAACTCGGCGGGTTTATATACGAAAACTCGCTGGAATTTTCCTTTTTGTCACTGTGGCTGATCAGGGTTTTAGGAGAGGGAAGGAGGAAGGATTTACTTACGTGAAGTAGCAGCCCATGTTTCTTCCATGGACTACCTTTGATTTTATGGTAAATTACGCATTTAGTATCTAAACTATCAGTTGTGATCTGTTTAATGCTTAAACTTTCAATATTTTAAAATCATACTTAATGTTTAGTTTTTGTTTCATTTTAGTATCTCATCGTTAAAAACTTAACGTGTTTAGTGCCTAAACTATCAGTGTTGGTCTGTCTTAGTATCTAAACTTTAAATTTTTTTCAAAACTTAACGTTAAGTTTTTAACGTGGTACTAAAATGAAATAAAAACTAAAAATTAGATATAACTTTGAAAAAAATTAAAAGTTCATGTATTATAATAAACCAAAACTGATGGTTTAGGTACTAAATACTTAAAGTACCCTTAATTTTTATAGTATTTTCAACATTTTCTATTAATATGATTCAATTTTATTTTTATATTTTATTTAAAAGTGATTGGTAGTGTCAATATCTTATTATTTTAACATAAAAAGAGTTTCCATAAATATTATTTAATTATAATTTTAATACTTTTATTTTTTTACATTTAAAATTTATTATATCATAATTCAGACATTTTATCTCTTAAAGTTGTCTTCCATTATCACTTGTATGCCAAGAGTACTTTGAATCAATTTAATTTCTCTATTTTTTGATCGTGGCATATATTGCCCTAGAGATCGCAAATAAAAAATATATAAATTTCGGTAAAAATTCTAAACGAAAAATGTTATGAGCAATGATAATAATAATAATAATAATAATAATAATAATAATAATAATAATAATAATAATAATAATAATAATAATAATAAAAAAAAAAAAAATTGATTATATTAGCCGCAAAGGTATAGATCTTCGTTATAGTTGTACGAACACAAAACTCTTAATTTATTAAAATTATAATATACCCTAAGGAGGTGTTTGGATGGAGGATTTTAACATTACCGGTGGGAATATTTTTTTCCTACTTGTGATTCTCATGTTTGGATAGACAATATTCCTAATAGGGATAATAAAATATGACCAATAGTAACTTTTTTTTTTTCAAATATTACCGAGAATCTTAATCCCATAGTGGGCTTAGATATTTTTTATTTTCCTACAACTTGGACTAAAATGTCTTTGTTCTAAAAGATTTATTTCAAAAATACCCTTACTTTTATTTCAAAAGCTATAGTATATTAACATAAATTTATTAGCATAATTTTATTTCAAAAATATTCCCAACGGGAATTTTATTTATTTATTTATTATCATAATTTTTTAAATATTAATTAAGATTAAAAGAATATAAGTTATATTTACTCTTTTAATCTACACATTTATCTTTTAAATTTTGTAAAAAAAATTATATAAATTTTATGAATTTAAAATTTAATAAAAAATATATATAAATTGAAAATAATACAATAATATATTTTCTATGAATTTTTATATAAATATTTTCATTTGAATATTTGGAATTCAACTTGTTAAAAAAATATCATAAGGACAATTTAATAAAATATGCATTCTAGTAATCTTTTATTCGTTTAAACAAACATTGTAATCATACATTCATGTCAAACAAACCAAACACAATAATTTAACATTCCCAGTAATGTGTAAGGTAATGTAACATTCCGGTAATCTTATTCTCGGAGGTAATGTTACATTCCATGAACCAAACACACCCTAAGGGTCTGCATCCACCCTAACGAAACCGATGAAAACATAGAATCAAAGAGACCTATTGAAGAAACAAACGAAACCGATGAAAACACAAGCTTAATTACGAAAGGAGAAAGCAAAGATGTCGATCTCGATGGAAATGACAGGGTTGAAGTCATAGAATCGAAGAGACCTATTCGAATGGCGAGTGAAACCGATGGAAACAGAAGCTCGTTAGCGAAAGGAGGAAGCGAAAACATCGATCAAGATTCTAGTGTTGATGAGAAGGACATGGTTGAAATCATAGAATCGAAGAAACCTATTGAGGAAACAAGCGAAACCGATGAAAACACAGGCTTGTCAACTAAAGGAGGAGGTCAACATATCGATCAAGATTATATATAATGTTGATGGAAAGGACATGGTTAAAAGCATAGAATTGAAGAAATCTATTGAAGAAACTAGTGAAACCGATGATAACACAATCTCATTAACGAAAGGAGAAGGCAAAAAAGTCGATGAAGATTCTAGTGTTCATGGAAATCGCATGGTTGAAATCATAGAATCCAAGAGACCTATTGAAGAAACGAGCAAAATCGATGAAAACGAAAAATTATTTCATGGACTTGGCTCACCATGCTATCTATGGTCTCAGTGAATCACATCCATTAATTTTAAAATAATTGTCAACCTCTTATTTACATAGGAAAGAGGTGAAGATTCACGTTGGAAAAAAATAAGACGGAACAATGTTATTAGTTGGGACCATAGATGACATGGTGAACCGGATTCATCTAACAATTTTTCTATGAAAACACAAACTTGATAACGAAAGAAGAAGGCAGAAATGGCATGATTGAAAGCATCGAATCAAAGAAACTCGTAAAGAAAACGAGCAAAACCGATGAAAACATAAGCTTGTTAATGGAAGAAGAAAGCAAAAATGTTGGCCATGATTCCATTATTGCAGACTATTCTAACATGTTTGATATCATATACTAAATGTTTTATTTTTTTTAAATATACCCTTCCTCACTGTACTTTACTTACTCTAGTTTTAATTTTTCTAATTTACTCATTAAACTTTTGAACTACTCCTATTTTGATCACTCTGAATTATTTTATTAGTATTTTGTATTATGTGACATTTATTTATTTCTACTTAATATAAACATAATTTAAAATATAAAATAAAGCCAGAAGGTGGTCGAACACCACCGTCGTCCTCTATCGACCATCGTATATGGTGGTTGTTAGATCTCAAATTTCATGGGTCGATTCACCTCAAACCTTGAGTCTAAATTTGGACGTTGTTTCATCCAAAAATATCTCAAAACCAATGAATTTCGATTGAAACATTTCAGCTTCCTCAGTTTTGCTCTCCAATTTGTGGACTTCAGAGTATGTTTCGACAAAATAGAGGTCAGAATCGAACTCAGGGTGTCGAGACGAAGCAACCCATAAAATTTGAAAATGAACGGCCACCATTTATGACGGTCGACAGTGAGCGACGATGGCGTCCGACCACCTTTTATTTTTATTTTTTATTTTAAATTATTTTTATATTAAATGCCACCATATTATAATAATAATAATAAATGTTACATCATATGAAAATAATAATAAATAATTAAAAGTGATCAAAATATGAGTAATTTGAAAGTTCAATGAGTAAATTAAAAATAATTGAAAGTATAGTATGTAAAATAGAAGAGAGAGTAAAGCTTAGTGAGGAATGATATAAATTACTTTTTTTAATAAATTGAAAATATGTAACCGTTTATTTGTTGAAAACAAAAGTAATAGGAGAAATCGAAGTCACAACAACAACGTATGAATCTTAAATTTGAAGTAGTATAAGGACCGCCGGTGCATTTAAGTAAGCTGCGATGCCTTTTGGAGGCGGTGATCCCTTTACTCACGGCATAAGCCGTCGCAAGAGGAACAGTAGCAATCGCATCGACAACCGGAAATATAAACGTCGGTCGTTCAATATGGCCCATGATCTGTTTACTTAAGGCAAAGCCCGTCTTGCAATGCACGGCGAAGTCCTCGCAGTTGTTCGATAAGAGGTTGTAGCTGCCAAAGCCGCCGTGTTCGAGCAAATGGGCGGCGGAGGCGAGGACTTCGTGTGGTGGCCTGGCGGCGCGTATGCAGCACGTACCGTTCTTTTTGAATTTGTGATTGAAATAGGAAACGCCATACTCAGAGACCTTAAGCTTTTTGACAGCAATGAAGCAATAAATGCAGATTTTTGCTATTTCGCCATTGATAACCCCCTTGTTTATGTATTCCTCGCATGTATACGGTTGAATCTTCTTTGCCTTTCCAGCCAGATGAATCACCATATTGTCACCCACATAGATTCCTGAGGACTCAATTGAAAACATCTAAAAATTGTAGGTTTAAAATGTAGTTATAATCTAGTTAAGATATTATTTTTAAAACGTGAGATAGATATGGTAAAATGATTCACTTGAATCAAAGGAACATGAACGTAACATTGTTTTTGCCTTCAGAATATCAAGTTAAAAAGCTCACATATGAAAGTTTATTGTGTTCACATAACGTGAGATAGGTATGGTAAAATGATTCACTTGAATCTAGATGTTTCTAGATGAAACTGGAAAATAATAGACAAATTAGCAAAATAATATACATGAGTTAGGATCATTTGCATATAATATAAATTTCTAAAATTGTTGGAGAAATGAAAATAGACAATTAAGATTATTTTTTATTTTTCACTAAATATCTTCTTATTATTCTCATACTTTTATTTATTTTTGATGGGCTCATACTTTTATTTTTACTCATCTAATGACATAAAAAATATAAAATTAAAATTCGATTGAAGAAATCCTTAGTGTAATAGATGATGTGGTTAACATAAACTTAGTCTAGAAGTCGAACAACCCTAAAATTAATACTTAAATATTTTTATGTTTTCAAGCTTCCAGTAAAAAGTTTAGTAGTCAATGCACCCCCTCTTAACAACTTTCTATTGGATTGTTCGAGTTAATAGAAATTAATCACTATGATAAGTTAGACATCATGTTCTGATTTATATGGGCCAATTGGTTGTGAATGAACGAAATTATTTTAGATAATAAAAAGTTTTCAGTTGATCAGATGTTTGATCTTGTAACGCCCCTCTTGAATTAATAATTTGGGTCAACCCGAAACCTATAATTTGAACACAACAGACCTATTAAAATAGCTTGGAAGTTTAGTAGCAATTGGCCTTGAGTTGGGCCCAAGAGAATTTTTAAAGATTGTTGGGTCTGTTATGAAATGGAAAGTAGAGGGACTAAAGGTGTGAGATGTTTTCAAAGCTGAAACCCCGTTACTTTATGGTGTTTACGTGAACTACTCCAATCATCATTCACCAAACTTTCTTCTTCTTCATTTCATCTTTTTCTCTTCCTCTTCCTTTCCAAAACCAAGATATCAAGCATTTCAAATCTAGTTTGGCTTAACTAAGGTGAGATTATAAACCCTCATTCTCCTAGCTTGAATTCAAGCTTCATTTCTCAAGTTTTTAGTCATGGAAACCAAAATGGGTTATTGAGAGGGTTATAAGAATTTATGGATTCTAACTCATTTTGGGTAGATTTGAGTTTAGAGAGTGTATTTAAATTGTATACAACACTCAGTTGAGTTAGTAATTTATTTTTCTACCTTGTTGAGTTTTTCGAGTTTTTAAATTGTATGTAAAAGTGTTGGTCATGATTCTATTATTGCAGACTCTTCTAACATGTTTGATATCATATACTAAATGTTTTATTTTTTTTAAATATACCCTTCCTCACTATACTTTATTTACTCTACTTTTAATTTTTATAATTTACTCATTAAACTTTTGAACTGCTACTATTTTGATCACTCCGATTATATATATATGAATAAAAAATATATGAGAAGGAAGAGAAGCTCACAAATCAACTTTTTCCCCATTTAGTATTTTTTGTGATTTTAGCTATACAACTATTTTCTATTTATAGTCCTTGTGAAACGTGTGATTTACAAAATGGAATTTACCAAGAAATTAAGTTGTGGAAAGAATTGCCAATAAACATTAGCCTCCGTTTATTTTGAATCTTCTAATTTGGTCCCCCCCAAATGATTTTTGCAAGGAAATTACTTCCACTTTTGCAATTTTCATTATTATTTTCTTCAGTCAACCATCGGTCTTGTAATGGGATGTCTTTCGGATACTTTTAATACTCTATAATAATTACATGATAGTATAAATAATTTTAATATTTTTAATCATTAATAATATGTACACATCTTACAAGTACGCAAGTATTCAAACTTCACGTCTGAAGACAAGATAATTCTTACAACATTTGACAAGAACCAAAATCTTTTATTTTTCTTGTTTTATAATAGACTAATAAAAAAATAGAATTTGTATTGGATTTAGGATTATTATTTGATATACACGTTTTGAAAATTTTATTTTAAAGAAAAATTTATTTTAAATAATCTATTTATTTTAATTTAAAGTTAAATAAAACACATGCCATTGAATAAAAAAAATTGTATAAATCTATATATTATATATTTAAAAAAAATTAAATACGCGTCATTAAAAGAGAAGAGTTTTGAAAGGGATGAAGAATTTTACAAAAATCCAATCTTTATCATCAGAGTCAACCAATTAGTGTTGTCTAACGCGTAGATTTCCCCAAGTGGGAACTTGTTTCCGCACGTATATGATTCAGGGAAAAAAAGATTTAATACCAAAAAATAATTAATATATAATTCAACTTTAATTAATTATGTTTTTATAATTTATTTGAATCTTATATTTAAATTTTTTTTCTTGTTGTAATTTGTTTTTATTTTAATATCAAACATGGATAATTTTTTAGAAAATAAATAAAGAATCAAAGGAACATGAATTATAACATTGTTTTTGCTTTCAGTATATCAAATTAAAAAGCTCAAATGTGAAAGTTTATTGTGTTCACATAACGTGAGATAGAGATGGTAAAATGATTCACTTGAATCTAGATGTTTCTAGATGAAACTGGAAAAAAATAGACAAATTAGCAAAATAATATACATGAGTTAGGATCATTTGCGTAAAATATATATTTCTAAAATTGTTGGAGAAATGAAAATAGACAATTAAGATTATTTTTTATTTTTAACTAAATATCTTATTATTATTCTCATACTTTTATTTATTTTTGATGGGCTCATACTTTTATTTTTACTCATCTAATGGCATAAAAAATATAAAATTAAAATTCGATTGAAGAAATCCTTAGTGTAATAGATGATGTAGTTAACATAAACTTAATCTAGAAGTTGAACAACCCTAAAATTAATATTTAAATATTTTTATATTTTCAAGCTTCCAGTAAAAATTTTAGTAGTCAATGCACCCCCCCTTAACAACTTTCTATTGGATTGTTCGAGTTAATAGAAATTAATCACTATGATAAGTTAGACATCATGTTCTGATTTATATGGGCCAGTTGGTTGTGAATGAACAAAATTATTTTAGACAATAAAATTTTTTCAGTTGATCAGATATTTGATCTTGTAACGCCCCGAATCTCGGGTTAGTACTTTGGGTCAACCCGAAACCTATAATTTGAACACAACAAACCTATTAAAATAGCTTGGAAGTTTAGTAGCAATTGGCCTTGTGTTGGGCCCAAGAGAATTTTTAAAGATTGTTGGGTCTGTTATGAAAATGGAAAGTAGAGGGACTAAAGGTGTGAGATGTTTTCAAAGCTGAAAACCCCTTACTTTATGGTGTTTACGTGAACTACTCCAATCATCATTCACCAAACTTTCTTCTTCTTCCTTTCATCTTTTTCTCTTCCTCTTCCTTTCTAAAACCAAGATATCAAGCATTTCAAATCTAGTTTGGCTTAACTAAGGTGAGATTATAAATCATCATTCTCCTAGCTTCAATTCAAGCTCCATTTCTCAAGTTTTAAGTCATGGAAACCAAAATGAGTTTTTGAGAGGGTTATAAGAATTTATGGATGCTAGCTCATTTTGGGTAGATTTGAGTTTTAGAGAGTGTATTTAAATTGTATACAAAACCTAGTTGAGTTAGTAATCTATTTTTCTACCTTGTTTAGTGAAATAGGTAAGAGAGAGTTCCAAAGCAAAGGGGAAAGAAAAAGTGACTACTAGTTGATTCGGGAGAGGCTTTAACAGCAAGGGAAATCAGGTAACACACTCACAACTCCTTCATACCTTTAATGAGTTAATAGAAATGCAAGATATCATATGAGTTGAGTTTAAACCTTGATGATCGTTTCCACAATATATTTCATGATTTGTGTGTTTTTTCATGTGTTTTAAAGCCTTATTTATAGCCCTTATTGATCACATAAGAAACTAATAACAATTGGGAACCTCAAAGTAGTAATGTAAGTAAAATTGAGTGAGCAAATAGGACCATCTCGAGCGAGGATATTTATACAATAAGAACAGTACTGATATTATTCTTTAAATCAACCTGAAATTGTTTAAGTTTTAAAAGCAATATCAATACTCATTAAAGGAGTATCGATCCAGGGTCCAATATATCGATACCCCAAGGGTAAGTATCGATACTAGAATATTTTTAAAAACATCGAAGCCAATGGTATCGGTACTTATGAGAGTATCGATACTCAGGGTAGAAGTATCAATACTCCCCATAAGAGTATCAATATTGGGCGTATTTTCAAAAATATCGAACCTAAAATTTGTATCGATACTCAAGGGGAGATACCGATACTAAAGGACCAGCATCGAAACCGAATGATCAATATCGATACATGCATATATTTTCGGGCTTTATTTTTCTAGAAATTTTAAGAGGACTATGAGGTTTCCTTATAACTCGACAATTACTTTCAAATAAGATTTCAAGTGGAAACATCAATAATAATTAATCACACTTAGAAAACGAGCAAAATCGATGAAAACATAAGTTTGTTAATGGAAGAAGAAAGCAAAAGTGTTGGTCATGATTCCATTATTGCAGGCTATTCTAACATGTTTGATATCATATACTAAATGTTTGATTTTTTTAAATATACCCTTCCTCACTATACTTTACTTACTCTACTTTTAAATTTTCTAATTTACTCATTAAACTTTCGAACTCCTCCTATTTTGATCACTCTGAATTATTTTATTAGTATTTTTGTATGATGTGACATTTTGATTACTATTTAATATAAACATAATTTAAAATATAAAATAAAGCTAGAAGGTGGTCGAACACCACTGTCGTCCGCTATCGACCACCATATATGGTGGTTGTTATATATCAAATTTCATGGGTCGATTCACCTCAACCCCCTGAGTACGAATTTGGCGGTTGTTTTATCCAAAAATGTCCCAAAACCAATGAATCTCGACTGAAAAAATTCAGCTTCCTCAGTTTCTCTCTCCAATTCGTGGACTTCAGAGCATGTTTCGATAAAATAGAGGTCATAATCGAACTCAGGGTGTCGAGACGAAGCGAGCCATAAAATTTGAAAATGAACGGCCACCATCTACGACGGTCGACGGTGAGCGACGATGGTGTCTGACCACCTTTATTTTTATTTTATAGTTTTAAACTATTTTTTATTAAATGTCACCATATGAAAACAATAATAATAAATTCCACATCATATAAAAATAATAATAAAATAAAAGTGGTCAAAATAGGAGTAATTTGAAAGTTCACTGAGTAAATTAAAAAAAGTGAAAGTATAGTATGTAAAATAAAAGAAAGAGTAAAGCTCAATGAGAAATGGTATAATTTACCTTTTTTAATAAATTAAAAATATGTAACCGTTTATTTGCTGTAAACAAAAGTAATACGAGAAATCGAAGTCACAACAACGTATGAAGTTTAAATTTGTAGTAGTATAAGGACCGCCGATGCATTTAAGTTAAGCTGTGATGCCTTTTGGAGGCGGTGATCCCTTTGCTCACGGCATAAGCCGCTGCAAGAGGAACAGTAGCAATCGCACCGACAACCGGAAATATAAACGTCAGTCGTTTAATATGGCCCATGATCTGTTTACTTTCGGCAAAGCCCGTCTTGCAATGCACGGCGAAGTCCTCGCAGTTGTTCGATAAGAGGTTGTAGCTGCCAAAGCCACCGTGTTCGAGCAAATGGGCGGCGGAGGCGAGGACTTCGTGTGGCGGCCTGGCAGCGCGTATGCAGCACGTACCGTTCTTCTTGAATTTGTGTTTGAAATAGGAAACGCCATACTCATAGACCTTAAGCTTTTTGCCAGCAAGGAAGCAATAAATGCAGATTTTTGCTATTTCGCCATTGATAACCCCCTTGTTTATGCATTCCTTGCATGTATACGGTTGAATCTTCTTTGCCTTTCCAGCCAGATGAATCACCATATTGTCACCCACATAGATTCCTGAGGACTCAATTGAAAACATCCAAAAATTATAGGTTTAAAATGTAGTTATACACTAGTTAAGATATTATTTTTAAAACGTGAGATAGATATGGTAAAATGATTCACTTGAATCAAAGGAACATGAACGTAACATTGTTTTTGCCTTCAGAATATCAAAATTAAAAAGCTCACATAAATGTTAAGATTCAATAAAAATGATAAGATATTCACGGAAAAAAAATAAAAAATTAATCTCAGTGGTTGATTTCCCTCAATCCAATAGTCCAAAAAAAAAATACAAAAATTACATTGCGTAAAATTCTATTAGTTTTACACCTTTTTATGACTTTTATTACACTGGATGTAAGTAGACCCTAACATATATATACATATAAAAGACCCTTACACTCGAAATATAAGGTGCGAAGTAGGGGATGGATGTTCAATTGATTTTTGGGAGGATCTTTGGACTGATATTCTGCCCTTAAAAATGGCATTTCCACGTATTTTTGCTCTTTTACCTCCAATTAGATATAGAGAGGTTATTTAACGTGGTCCTGCTATAATATCTTGGTCTACATATGCTTTAATAATAACATACTAGACGTATCTTAATAAAAAGAAAGACATAATTCATTCATAATTATAAAATTTTTAATTTTATATTTTTTTAAGATTATTGGATGAGCAAAACTAGACGAATGAGATTAATATTATAAAATAAAAAGATGTCTACTAAAGAAAAAAAAAACAAATATGTAATTTTAACCGTATATTATTATTTATCCGATTATATATATATATATATATGAATAAAAATTATATGAGAAGGAAGAGAAGCAAACCATGGTGATCATAGAGGCCTCCCCTTCTTTTGCAGTAGATGTGATCGCCTGCTTGAAGCTCACAAACCAACTTTTTCCCCATTTAGTATTTTTTGTGATTTTAGCTGTACATCAATTTTCTATTTGAGAAGATTAATATCTTCATGATTTTTGCAGTTAGCCAGTTACCAATCATTGACCATAGAGAAGCATTTGGAAGCATCATTCTTTTAACATTTACGGATTGAAGCATGTTATCGTAGAGTTCTTTAACGGCCTCTGTATTCAACAGAACAAACCAAGCATTGAAAATAAAACAAAAAGCTTCGAACCTAATCTCAAACTAAACTAAATAGAAAATCAAGAACCAGTCGGATTCTTATCTGTGGTTTCAGCTGCTGTGGAAAAAACTTGTCCTTGAAATCATCGGATAAACCGAATGCAGTGGCATCGGATAATAACAGCTTTCACACATCCCTGTAAACATGGACTTGGCTCACCATGCTATCTATGGTCTCAGTGAATCACATCCATTATTTTTAAAATAACTTTTAAATAACTGTCAACCTCTTATTTACATAGGAAAGAGAAGAAGATTCACGTTGGAAAAAAAATAAGACGGAACAACGTTATTAGTTGGGACCATAGAACACATGGTGAACCGGATTCATCTAACAATTTTCTATGAAAACACAAACTTGATAACGAAAGAAGAAGGCAGAAATGACATGATTAAAAGCCTCGAATCAAAGAAACTCGTAAAGAAAACGAGCAAAACCGATGAAAACATAAGCTTGTTAATGGAAGAAGAAAGCAAAAGTGTTGGTCATGATTCCATTATTGCAGACTATTCTAACATGTTTGATATCATATACTAAATGTTTTATTTTTATTAAATATATCCTTCCTCATTGTACTTTACTTACTCAACTTTTAATTTTTCTAATTTACTCATTAAACTTTTGACTGCTCCTATTTTGATCACTCTGAATTATTTTATTAGTATTTTGTATTATGTGACATTTATTTATTTCTATTTAATATAAACATAATTTAAAATATAAAATAAAGCCAGAAGGTGGTCGAACACCACCGTCGTCCTCCATCGACCATCGTATATGGTGGTTGTTAGATCTTAAATTTCATGGGTCGATTCACCTCAAACCCCGAGTCCGAATTTGGTCGTTGTTTCATCCAAAAATGTCACAAAACCAATGAATCCACGAAACTGTAACCGTTTACCATCCCTACATGTACGCAAGTATTCAAACTCGACGTCTGAAGACAAGATAATTCTTACAACATTTGACAAGAACCAAAATCTTTTATTTTTCTTGTTTTATAATAGACTAATAAAAAAATAGAATTTGTATTGGATTTAGGATTATTATTTGATATACACGTTTTGAAAAATTTATTTTAAATAATCTATTTATTTTAATTTAAAGTTAAATAAAACACATGGCATTGAATAAAAAAATTGTATAAATCTATATATTATATATTTTTAAAAAATTAAATACGCGTCATTAAAAGAGAAAAGTGAAAAAATATTTATTTATTAACCATTTGGGATGAAGAATTTTAGAAAAATCCAATCATTATCATCGGAGTCAACCAATTAGTGTTGTCTAACGCGTAGATTTCCCCAAGTGGGAACTTGTTTCTGCACGTATATGATTCAGGGAAAAAAAGATTTAATACCAACAAATAATTAATATATAATTCAACTTTAATTAATTATAATTTTATAATTTATTTGAATCTCATATTTAAAATTTTTTCTTGCCGTAATTTGTTTTTATTTTAATATCAAACATGGACAATTTTTTAGAAAATAAATAAAGAATCAAAGGAACATGAACGTAACATTGTTTTTGCCTTCGGAATATCAAATTAAAAAGCTCACATATGAAAGTTTATTGTGTTCACATAACGTGAGATAGAGATGGTAAAATGATTCACTTGAATCTAGATGTTTCTAGATGAATCTGGAAAAATAGACAAATTAGAAAAATATAATATACATGAGTTAGGATAATTTGCATATAATATAAATTTCTAAAATTGTTGGATAAATGAAAATAGAGAATTAATATTATTTTTTATTTTTCACTAAATATCTTCTTATTATTCTCATACGTTTAATTTTTTGATGGGCTCATACGTCAATTTTTACTCATCTAATGACATAAAAAAATATAAAATTAAAATTTGATTGAAGAAATCCTCAGTGTAATAGATGACCTATAATTTGAACCCAACGAACCTATTAAAATAGCTTGGATCAAGTTTAGTATCAATTGGGATTGAGTTGGGCCCAAGAGAATTTTAAAGGTTGTTGGGTCTGTTATGAAATGGAAAGTAGAGGGACTAAAGGTGTGATTTTCCTATTGATGTTTTGAAAGCTGAGAACCCCCTTACTTTTTGGTATTTACGTGAACTATTCCCATCATCATTCACCAAACTTTCTTCTTCTTCCTTTCATCTTTTTCTCTTGCTCTTCCTTTCCAAAAACCAAGATATCAAGCATTTCAAATCTAGTTTGGCTTAACTAAGGTGAGATTATAAATCCTTATTCTCCTAGCTTCAATTCAAGCTCCATTTCTCAAGTTTTTAGTCATGGAAATCAAAATGAGTTTTTGAGAGGGTTATAAGAATTTATGGATTCTAGCTCATTTTGGGTAGATTTGAGTTTTAGAGAGTGTATTTAAATTGTATACAACACTCAGTTGAGTTAGTAATCTATTTTTCTACCTTGTTTAGTGAAGGAGGTAAGAGAGAGTTCCAAAGTAAAGGGGAAAGAAAAAGTGACTCCTAGTTGATTCAGGAGAGGCATTAACAGGAAGGGAAATCAGGTAACACACTCACAATTCCTTCATACCTTTAGTGAGTCAATAGAAATGCAAGATAACATATGAGTTGAGTTTAAAGCTTTATGAGCATTTCCACTGTATATTTCATGATTTATGTTTTAAATATGTTTTAAAGCTTTATTTATGGCCCTTATTGATCACATAAGACACTAATAACAATTGGGAGCCTCAAAGTAGTAATGTAAGTAAAATTGAGTGCCCAAATAGGGCCATCTCGAGCGAGGATATCAGTATTGGAAGAACAGTACTGATATTATTCTTCAAATCAGCCTGAATTTGTTTAAGTTTTAAAAACATTATCGATACTTATTAAAGGTGTATCGATACCCAGGGTCCAGTTTCGATACTCCAATGGTAAGTATCAATACTGGAGTATTTTTTAAAACTATCGAATCCAAGATTGGTATCGGTGCTCATGGGAGTATCGATACCCCGAGTAAAAATATCAGTACTCCCCATAGGTGTATCAATATTGGGCATATTTTAAAAAATATCGAACCTAAATTTTGCATTGATACTCAAGGGGAGGTACACCGGATGACCAATATCGGTACCACATACATTTTCAGGCTTTATTTTTTGAGAAATTTTAAGAGGACTATAAGGTTTCCCAAGAACTCTACAATTACTATCAAATATGTTTTCAAGTGGAAACATTAATAATAATTAATCACACTTAGAAACGATATCAATTAGGGCGACATAAAGCAAGCCTTGATTGATGCTCAAGAAATAATTAGAACACCCGAGTTCCTTTAGCAAAGATACCAGTGTCTAAGTATAGAATTAGTCCATATATCCTTAGGTAGTGTGTAAGGCACTTTAAACTGACTAACTAGGGCGTAAGGTCTGACATTCGTAAGGGGTGAGTTAGTCGAGGGTGTTATGTCCAATGTAGAGGTTATGAGCATCATCCTCGGTATTTTAGAGAGGTGTGAACACTGCGATACAGAATCATTCAGCCACACCATGGTGTATACCATATATTAGAGAGTGGGTATACGAGTATACCCTCTATTGCATTTTTATCAGTTAGCTTGAGCATGAAATGAACAATTTTAGTATGGTTTAGTTGTTAGCGTGGCACTGGTCTAGTTATCTCAGCGTTTGAAATTTGTTTCCTTACGGATATTCATAGATAGAGCTGTTGAGTAGCTTTTGTTCAAATTAGATCTAGACCAGATTCATAGCAGAATATGTCTCGAGTTCTTCTTTGAGGGCATGTATATTTGTAAACCCTATTTTGTATATTTAAGTAAAAAATAATTTAAATGATGGTCTGTATATTTTGATTTATTATTTTGGGAGCTCTCAATTGTAAACTGATTTATATAAATGTTGTTGTTTTATTTCATGATGAGTGTTCATAAATGATTGTTTTAATTGAACTAGTATAAAAAAAAATTGTAAGCCACTCCGGTGGTTCCATGTGGCACTCTGATCGGTCGAATGTGGGTTATACTTGTTTAGGGTATTACATTTAATGGTATCATAGTGTCAGGTTTAGACGTTCCTAGGGCCCGTGGGTTAAAGTCAGAAAAAGTTTATGAATATACATGTCTTTAAGGATATAAAGAGTACTTCTGCTTCTGAAAATGTGATAGTAACTCCTCTATTGTTTAAAATTTCAGAGTTGAGACATGGAGGAGAGCCTATGCCACAGTCAAGAGGGTAAGCACGAGAGTAGGGCTTCCCTTGTAGGAGATTTAGGTGATGATTTTGTCTCTCAGACAGATTTTGAGGAGCCTAGGAAGGCATGGATCGAGGAGGTGACCTACTTTAGAGATCTTACTGATACCCTGAGGCGTATAGCTAGAGCCTTACTTCGGATCCCCCCACCTTACCTACCCAGCCAGTTGAACCAGCCCACCCGCCGTAGTATCGTAGGAGTCTCCTGTAGAGAGGGTTTAAAGGTACGAACCATAAATTTCTTCGACATAGGAGACGATGACCATGTAGTGGCTGATCAGTGGTTGAGAGAGACTCTTAAGACTCTTTGATAGCTACACTTTACCCTTGAGGGTATTTTGGAGTGCGCTACCTCTTTACTAAAAGGTGACATTATAGACTGGTGGGAGACGATAGAGATGTCTTTGGAGCCTGAACGACCTACCTAGGAACGATTCTTTGAGGAGTTTCTCCAAAAATACATAGGGAGGATCATATGGATACTTTGAGAGATCAATTTACCCAGTTGACTCAGGGGAACCGTTCAGTGTTTAAGTAT